TGACTTATTTCACTCAGCATAATGTCCTCCAAGTTCATCCATGTTATGCGGTGTTTTGCAGATTCTACATTATTCGTTAGCATTGCATAGTATTCCATTGTGTGTATGTACCATAGTTTGGTTATCCATTCCTCAGCTGAAAAGCAGTGATCTTAAAAATGATCACATATGTAGTTTTATGTGTTATAAGAATGTGTGTGTGTGTATCACACACACACACACATAAAATAGAGCTAACAGGGCTCAGTTATGATGACTTCTCAGCCACAGCTAAATACCTAAGGGAGTGAGTTGTTGGACCAATGGGTTCAGGACCATGGTTTCAGGGGACATCAAGCTCAACTGGCATAGCATACTACACAAAAACATTATTCTACATCCAACTTTGGTCAGTAGCAACTGGGGTCTTAAAAGCTTGTAAGTGGCCATTTAATTTGCAACAATTGGTCTTTCCTCACCTGGAGAAAAGAAGAATGAAGAAAATCAAAGATGCCTGGAAACAATTAGTCCAAGAGACTAGTGAGCCATGTGAACCTCAGCCTACATGACACTGAGACCAGTGGAACTAGATGGTGCCTAGCTACCATTGCCAGCCACTTGGAAAGGGATCAAAATAGGAGATCACGGATAGTGTGGGAGAAAAATGTGGAACAAAACTCAAAATCATAAAAAAGGTCAGGCTTACTGGTCTGATAGAGACTGGTGAAACCTTAGACAACTTCCAGGCCTGGAGTTGAACTCATTCGTGTGGATTCCAGCCATATGATAGACAGGCCTACCAGGTGAACAGTTACACCAGGTAGGTGTATACTCCTTAGAACAATCAACCATGGGAGATGAGAAGGGCAGCATTTGCACAGGGATATAGCTCAGAGGGCAGGAATTACATAGGAAAAAAGGACACAGAGAAAAGGTAGCCACAGGGAGGAAGTGGGAAGAGAGCTGTTACATTAAGGGGATTGCAGTCAATGTCATGAAACAAAATGTGTATAAATTGTTGAATAGAAAGCAAATTTCCTCTGTAAACTTTGACCTAAATCATAATTTTAAAAAAAAGGGGAAAAAAAATTTTTGGCATGAGTTCTGGAGATGCACACCATTTGGGCTTGAATTTTGGCTCTGTTACTGATTGCTGGTTAAGTTACTTTAACCTGCCTGTGCCTCAGCATCACCACTTTAAAATGGGAATGATAGTTACTTCATGAAGTTGTTGGGAAGCCAAAATGAGTCAGTCGGGTCTGACTTGATGGCACATAACAACAACAACAACATTGTAAGATACTTAGAAAAGTCACTTTGATAGTTTTTAACTCAGTGTATATTATTTTTAGTTATTATTACTGAAAGTATATATAGTTTCAAAGTGCTAAATAGACATTTAAATTATATAGAAATTTATGTATCCTAAAGTATTTTATGAAATTGTGCTTTTCTGGGTGTTAGAGAAATACAAATTAAGATTTAATCTTTCAATCATTTCTTGGTTATTTATTATTGTTCTGGTGGATCAAAGTGGGATTCTAGATTTGAAATATAATGAAAATATTGAAATTGAGATTTTTGTGTATTCTGGATTTCAAGTAGTGTAATGTATATACTTTTGTTTGCAAAATGCAACTAAGTTATGCTGAGAATTTAAGTGGTTTCCTTTATAATTCTATTAAATAAGCTTTAAGTAATTTATAAAATTATTATCTGGCTTTCATCATCAGTATATATCACAAGGCTGTTTAAAACATTTATTTATTTATTTATTTGTTGTTGAGAATATACACAGCCAAATATACACCAGTTCAACCTTTTCTACATGTACAATTCAGTTAACATTGCTTACTTTCATCAAGTTGTGCAACTATGTACACTCTCCTTTTCTGAGTCGTTCCTCCCTCATTAATGTAAACTCACTGCCCTCTACATTTTCTGTCTAACCTTTCAAGTTGCCATTGTCAAATTGATCCCATATAGATAGTTCTTAAAAGAACATATGCTCAAGGCAGCTGTTTTTTTTTTTTTTTAAATTTTATTTTGATTTGGGTGAAGATTTACAGAGTAAATTCACTCTTCATACAGCAGTTCACATAATATACTTTGTCTCATGTCATTGACCAAAATTTACAATGCAATAGCTCCCCTCCCACTTCCTCCCCATAGTTACCTCTTCCCAGTGTCCATCCCTCCATACTCTCCTGCCCCCTGAGCTATCTCCCTGTGCATAAGCAGCCCTTCCTTCTCCCATGATTGTTCTCTCCAGGGCGTGTGTCTACTTGAGGTAAATGTTTAACTCACATGCCTGTACTTTGTTTGGCTGGAAACCACAGGTGTGGCTTCAATTCCAGACCTGAAGGGCAGCTAGGGGCCATAGTCTCAGTGGTTCCACCAGGCTCTATTGGACCAGCAAACCTGGGCCCCACCTTCTTTTTTTTTTTGCCTTCAAATGATTTTGAGTTTTGTTCCACATTGTTCTCCCACTCTATGCAGGATCTCCT